GCTATTACCCATGTGCATCCGACATTGAGAGAAAGCACTGCCCACCTAGTCAAATGCATCACGTAGACGCTCTCAAGTTGGACCACGATTTTGTGCGATCAACAAAGTTTTGGTTCCAAATGTCGTGGTTGCAAGATTTTCAATGAACTTTTCGTAAACGAAAAATTTGATTTACCTTTTGGAAAGACACTTACATAAAGTTCATGGCATTCCCATTTTTAACACAAAAATTTGAGTTCATCAAGTGTGCTTATCTAATTGACGTAAAAAGCATGCTGCAAAAATCGAGATCGAGACGTTTCAAAAGAGACTTTGGTACTTTTCATCGCCTAAAGTTATCGACATTTGCACCAGCTGATTGTTATGAAGCGAAAGCAGAGCCCTGTTCTTGCAAATGGCTAAGCGACCGTATTTCGAAATGAAAACACTGGAATGGGATAAGTTTTTCTACCAACAATAAGAATAGGTTGCGGTAACAAACATTTTGTAGTTTGCTTCAGTTACTATTCGGCAGTCCACCAAAGCGGTCCTCTTTGTATATCAACAATGACAGATGCTACCCCGAGTGGTCAAGGTGCACCAGGGGATGGAGCTCCACCTCCGGTAAATTTGTAGTACTGTTCTGCATTATATTGCTGTGTGCACGAAGCAGAAGAGCAGGAGCCGGAGATGAGCTTTTCAACGTGCTAGTGGGTTTTTGCAGAATCAAGAAGGCGCTGATGACAAAGACGAGAAGAAAGAATTAGAAAGTGGAGCATCGGGGGCAGGCAGTCAAATGGGTGGTGCACCTCCAGAAACGGGAGAAAGTGGAGGTAAGAGCAGTTACCCAGAATCAAAATATCAAAGAGATCTACTCTATGATTAGCAGCGAGTGAAGGAGGTAAAAAGAAGAAGAAGAAAAAGAGCAAGAAGAAGAAAAGGAAGACAGCACATTTCAAGCAAGTATTCACTGACTTTTATGTGTTTCTTTAGAAAGTTCTTTCTGCCAAATTGCTAGTACTTTTCACCCCAATCGTCATTTTTACTCAATAATCACATTCGCCACTTTAGGAAACGAGGACATCCGTATTTCAAAGTACTGTGCATCGTATTCTCACTATTGTCTCTAGCCAGTCTTGCTACAGCATTGACTATGGGTGCACTGATGTTAAACGATACAGCAAAGTAGACAACCTAATAAAAATGGTTGCACATCGCATGTTTTCGTTTCAATGAAGTTTTCTATTGGGAACGTTCAATGAATGCTTGGTATATGACTCTACACATATGACACATTCTGTACTCAAACAATATGCTTTTTTATAGCAGCACACATCTGCTTATCGCAGAATAATTAGATTGATTAATTATGTACAGCTCCTGCTCAAGAATTTCTTCCTGTGAACGTGATAGCCTGAATCATTTGTCTTTGTGAGTACAGCTTTGCAATCATCTGTATCAGCTGTCTTCCCGTTGCTCATCACGAGCGGGTAGTAGCGATGCCTCCATTCATTCCTGTCATGGGCAACTGTTGACTAGTTT